ATAATGCTTAGTTCTTACTTTTGCCTTCCCTACATTCAACACATACAGGTACAACCAATTGACTTTTACTTCTATCAATGTCTATAATTTACCTTAATATGACTCAAAAGTAAATTCTACATTATTACAATACACAAATAAAATTTAAAAAAAGATCTTACATTAAATTCTAGCAATAATGTTGAGAAAATGTTATTAATTTATTACCATGCAAATACTATAAAATCACTGTTAATTTCTAGACTCCAATCTACTACATAATATGTAATATGTAATTCTTTTCTTCAAAATCTTTGTGAGGAATTTATATAATTGGTATTAACAGTGTATCATAATTAGTAAATAGTATATATTTCCTTGTAATGCCATGGTTGCTTGCAGTTGAGGCATAAATTAACCGGCTTCCTAGAAAACGTTGCATTAAGTGTTTTATTTTGAAAGTTCTGCTCGATAACTGTGTTCCCCGCTGTAGCTAGCTTAACCGCGACACACAAGCAGCCTCGATAACTTCAACCAAAATATCCGGATAAAAACCACATTAACGCTCGAGTAACCACTCCTAATGACTTCTACGAACTATTTTAATTGATAAAATGCAGTCGCCGGAGTGTTAGCTCCTCATCTAACCGTCCTGACGTTAGCTGCGGTGCTGATTGTTGCATCGCAGCTTCTTGTGAACAGCAGCTGTCAAAACTGTATCACAGAGAAACAGACACATCCTTGCCGGCGTCTACAGAAATAAACAGACGGTCTGAGTATACCTGCAGCTTTCTTACATTCACATTTTCCTGTTCCAAGTGAGTAGAATACATTTTCATACATACCTTCGTTGCCCATAAATTAAAGGCAGCTAATGCTAGCCTCTGTCCAGCGCTGACTATGGGTAACTTTTAGCCCTCAGTATTGACTATAAGGCAGGCTCAAACGATACCGCCTCCTTCACTGCCTGATCACCCTGTATAGCGACACAGTCGTCCTCACATATATTCATATCCTTCCATTAAAGAAAAGGCAACATTTACAATTGTCACTTAAATAACGCGAAACTGAAAAAGTAATAATACATTTTTTTTTTAAAAATGCAAAATTATAATTTAGTGAAATAAGACATTGCTTTTGAATTGTGGTTGAAAATAATAATTCAAAACAAACAAACAAACAAAACTGTCCCAGACAAATTAGAGCACTTTTCTGATAAGCAGTGGACCAAAATCAAAATACCTGTCAACAGGTGCAGAAGTCTGACTGAGAGTTACAGAAAACATTTGATTGCAGTGATTGGCTCAAAGGGTTGTTCAACAAAATATTAATTTACGGCTCCCATCATGCGTGTTTGCTTGTTTTTTATTTTTCGTTTGGTTGTTTTGTTTTTAGAAAACATTTCTGTTGAACCACAATTCAAAAGCAATTCATTATTTTCATAATTTTTTTATTTATTATTACTTTTGTCAATTTCAACTTATTTCAGTGACAGCTGTTTTTTTTCCTTCTTTAATGGGAGGGTATGGATACATTTGAGGACGACTGTCGGTAGAACCTATAAGAGTCTACCGAACTGAGGGACTGAACATGTGCATTAACACGAAAGTAAAAAAATTCGTGTTCTTTTTGCGTAAAAGGGTCTTCATGTGTTAAAACCCGCTAATATCAGTTTTTAGTCATCTTGTGAATAAGACTTAGCAGAAAACACAGACGTGATTCAACGTGCAAAAATGAAAGATGATTGTGATTGAACCAAAATCTATGCGACAGACGGATTTCTTATTTTAATCTGCGTTGGCCTGGTACAAATATTCCTAGCAGACAAATTTGAGGGCACCATGCCATTATGTTCTATAAAGCGCTCCCAGCCGGTGACATGCCCATGGACTCCTGTCCTGCCTCCTATTGGACAGCACACAAATGATTTCCCAATCAATCACTGCATTTCGTTCACGGAGCGGTGGTGCGTTTGAGAAATATCTGTAAAAACAGACCCAAGTGCTGGTAACCCGAATATGGTAGCCTTAACTTTGTACAACTTTGCACATGTTGCACATCTGGTGCAATTCTGGTTACATTGATTATAACATTAATAATCTATCTATCTATCTATCTATCTATCTATCTATCTATCTATCTATCTATCTATCTATCTATCTATCTATCTATCTATCTTGATATTTCCTATGTAACCACTACACACAAAATAAATGGTTAACCACAAATCAAAGTAACATTGTAATTGTTGACCTGCATTAAGCCCAAAATTTGAACAATATTTAACAGTAATAAATATGTTGCAGGAAGAACTGCAGGAAGAAGAATTTCACAAGTTTGTGTGTAAAAAATATTCATAGTTACACATGAATTACAGTTTATGCAGTTATCTATACACCTGCTCCATTAAAAATTAAGCTTTTTAGGATGGTTTTTATATGCTGGAATAAACACCATGAGTGAATTAGGTAGTCAGCGCCATAACTGAGCATTTCCACTGTGAAGCTGCAGTGTACAGATGCTGTTAATTTACATGATGAGCCTTCCTTTATCATTTTTCTCCTGCAGAATTAGTTTCATTTCAAACATGTATGGTTGAATTACTTCTACATTAAATCAATGACCAGAGAGAGACTTTAAATAATCAATTTGTCAGTTGACAGGATACATAAAATACACCCACAACTGATTAATTCTGTACACGTTTCCTGCATCCATTAGTCAATCATAGGAATGTGCAGTTTTTGTAAGTTGTGTCTTTTATTGTGGACTGTTCATTTTAATGTAGGAATCAACCAATATGTTTTGGGGTTTTTTTCAGAGCCATTGCTGATGATTAGTAATCAGGGTGACTAATTACCAATGTTTGTAACCAAAACATTTGCAGTAAAAATGAAAATCTTGGTGACAAAATTTAGCATAAATTCCTATACAAAACTTTGTTGAAAGGCTTTTTGTTTATTTCTGTTTTTACATGTGTTTATTGAAAAGTGAACTCTTGAACTTTTGTCCTTCAGTGTTGCAGGAGTGAGTAATGTCCCGCTCACTTTAATGCTGGCAATGGGTTATTACGGGAGACCACAGAGTGACAACAGAGAGAAAGAAGACAGCTGCATCTGAGCCAAGGTAACACATTCTTTCATTATTGTATTTTTATGATTGGGAATCTGCTCCAAAACAAAAACACAGATAATCAGGAAAGTAATGAATATCATATCCAACAATTGAGCATACTGATAATCAGTCGACCCCTATTCTGTTGCCATCACTTTGGCCTTTAGAACACTTTAGGACTTATTTTTTTCCTTACTGGCAAAATGTCTGCAATTAATCAAGACAATCAAAGATAAATCAATTATGGAAATACTAATAATGTGCAGCTTCATTGTAGATGTTGCTGTTTTAAGCAGGTTGTTTGAGGCACATGTGATAAAGCTGCATATTTCCGAGTTTATTAAGAGTCCCTTAATGCCCCACTGACGTAGTGTGTCTCCCTCAGGACACAAACTGAGTGGGTGGCAGCTTTTCATCCTCTTTAACAGAGCACACACATCCCATTAGTACAGTGCGTTTTGGACTTAGGTCACTGTAGAACAACAAAGTAAACTCTTCTTTTCTTTCCAAACAGGTTATAGAAATGCTACTTAAGGAACATGACAGGTCCAGTTTATTTCTTTGGGTGAATTTCTATTAATGAATTATTAATGAATTTATTAATTAACATATATAAATAGTAAAATCCTATATGTTGGAAGAAAGGAGCTATATTACGATCACTGTAAAAGTAATTACATCTGAAGGTCATAGACACAAACTTTGAAGGAATATTTTTAGAATAATTGTAGAGTTTAGGCACAATAAATATGACCTTATAAATATGTAGATGCATTTCTACATATAAATCTACCTAACGGGCTATTTATTAAATCACGGTAAATACTGTATTCCAAGGTTCACTGTGGTGACACCTCCTGCAACGCAATACTAAATATGTATTTGTAATTATCCCTCTCTAACACTCGGTGTCACTATTGTTGCACTGAAACCACAAAACGCAGGAGCCCAGCATGTTAGAAAAATGTTTATTCTTTTGCTGCCCAGCATGTAAACTCATCCCACCAGCTCGTACAGACAGTTTATTCCACAATAATGCTTCCATGAGATAATTCCGACATGCCACAGTGTAACACAACTGACACGGGATAATGTCACGTATTGCTGTGATGAAGTTCATATTAAATAATGTATCCCTTGAGCTTTATTCTCAGTTTATGTGCACTCAGGAAACATTGTAGTGTTTATATTTACAATTTTCAAAGGCGGATGTGGTTTTTATAATTGGGAAATTTAAAAAAAAAAAAAAAAAAAAAAAGATAAGCAGATAATCATAACACCGCAATAAAAGGCACAGTAAGTTTCGCCTCTGGTTTTCAGTGGCATTTGCAGCAGTTAGAATTTAGTAATGCTGAGTGAGGCTCCTAATTGGGGGTCAAACATTCGAAACAGTGTCAACACTGAGAGCTTGGCCGCCTCTTTTTCAGTACCCGGGGTCTCTCTCCACGCAGCCCACTGCGTTGTCGGGACACTTGCAGGAGCGGCCGGTCGGTGTTGCTAAACAGAGGTGAGTGCAGCCTCCATTGTTCACAGCACAGTAGTTTTGTCCTGGCAGACGGAAAAGAAACACATGCCCTTGTATAAATCATAAGTCACCATAGCAGGGGACTGCAGGAAACCGCCTCACCACTGTTTGTTATACATATACGAAACATATCTGAGGGAAACACATAGCAAACTCCAGATGTTGGAGGCCCTCTCCCTTGACTCCGCATTCCCTGGCTTTATGCATGCAGCCTTATCTGGAAGGGAGGATGAAGCCTGGTGCTTCACTTAACTATTAGTCATCCCTTTGCTTAATAATAAATACTAGCTGCAGAATTCCTCCTGTTGCTTTCAGGTCAAGGAGTGAACCTGAGATTTTTCATGTTTGCAGCGTGCACTCAGAATTCCTTAGAGTGTAGAAGTCACGAATCTGGGTTGGTGGGTCCTGAAGAGTACGGGGACTGGATAAGCAATAAGCATGACTTAAAAGTAGTTCTGAATACACAAGGATCAAAGTATGAGTGGCTCTTTAGTCAGGTGTTTTCATGTGGAAATACACATTTAAATCAACCTTTTGAAGATCTTCAGTAGGCCAATGTTTATGGGGAATATGTCAAACCCTTACAACTGGTTTATTACCTGAAGGACACTGGGCGTAAGCAGTGGCGATCCCGTACAACTTGGTCCGTTTCTGAGGCTGGAACTCGTCTGCCTCCCTGCCAGTATAGCGGTCCACTGCAACCACTGCATCCCTGTTGTAAACACAAACAGCACAACAGTTTAGCAATCGGGGGCTCTCTCATCTTGAGAAATCGTCATGCCTTCTTGTGCTTTGTATAAAGTCTGTTAAGTATGAGTAAAGGTCAGGGTGGGTTTGTTAGCCGTAACTGACATAGTTTGCTGTAAACTGTTGAAGTGCACTGCCTCCCCCACCACCACCAGCAGCACCTCTCAAACCTTTTTTTGTAAGGCTAGATCACAGAGAGGCCCTGTGCAGGTCACTCACAGATGCCCGGGTTGAGAAATTGCAAGCAGCTGTCACTTTTTAGGATACCTCCTCACACCATGTACACACACACACACACACACAAAGTCACCCCAACCCCCGCCGCTGGGCATTGGTTGAGGAGAAACTAACCTACAGAGTTGGCCGCATGGGAAGGCACCTCCACAGTTACAGGGAGGGAGTATCTGAGCCTGGGAGAACATGAAGGGCTCATGTTTGAAGTGTAGGGAGCTTTTCGACCTTTGACTTACCCTCTCCTTCCTCTACCTTCACAGATCTGCATTCTTACATTGCATAATGGACCATGGATAAAGGTTGACTTATGCTCTTGATGCTACAACAACCTTTGGGTCTTATTTATAACAAATTCCAATCGCAATAGTATGAAATCAAAACACTTAAGGAGCTCTGGCTTGACTCTTATCAGAAAAACGTGTGTGTAATAACCATAAACACACATTTAGACTAGTATATAATTTACATCCCACATGCATGTGTAAGAAGTGAGTCTCAAACCTTCGCCAGTCAGTGTAGTAGATGTTCTTCCCAAAAGTTGTCATTCCAAAAGGGTACTGAATCCCTTCCAAAACCTTACTGCGGTCACCCCGGGCAGGATTCATGCACTCCAATTTATGTGTGCCTGCAGGCAATGAAGACATTATTCTCAGTGCTGATCACAAAGCAGACATAGTTTTATAGATGAGTCATCTGTCTGAAATCTACCTGCGTCTGCCCAACAAAGCAGCGAACTCTGAGAGTCGTAAGTCAAGCCGTTCGGCAGGCCAAGATCATCTTTAACCAGTACCCGTCTGTTGGATCCGTCCATGTAAGAGGTCTCAATCTTGGGGGCATCGCGGTTCCAGTCAGCCCAGTATAGATTCCTGTTGTGAGGTCAGGTGTGATGTGAGTTCACTCTTAAATTTAGCATTTAACAACAACAACAAGCTGCAAATTCTTTAAAAATGCTGGTAGCTTTTTAAAATCACAAATCATCCTACACTTTCATGTCTTGACGATAAATAGAAGCACAACCAGCAGCTATTTAGCTTAGCTTAGCATACAGACTGGAAAAAGAGAAACAGCTGGCCTGGCTCCCTGACAAAATATCCATCTGCACAGCCTAAACATTTTTTTTTGTACAGATCAAACAAATGACACACAGTGTGCTAGTTGGTGAGCTCTAGAAGTGATAGTAGGTGGATTTTCCTATTTCTGATTCACAACGCCAATCAGCTACATATTAGTTACATATTCACACTTTTTTTTCTCCCATGAAACTAATTGCTTCATGCCCTAAAATGTTTAGATGTTACTCTACATCATTGTCTCCTTTAGAATTAGAGGCTCTATATAGTCCCTTCCCCTTGCTCTCCACCTAGCCCCCACTGCTCGCTGCAGCTCCAGCACGCCAGCTCACCAAAACTTGTAATACTGATGTAATTCTGCTAGACATGTTCAAACTGGTTCTGACTGCCTGAATCCATGCACTGCATTTCTGCGACAAAAATGCTCACGACAGATTTACATGTCAAATTTGTTATTAAATCTTTATATCTTACCGCCTCTAGGGTCTAACTCACTGTATGTTCAATAAACAAGCTAGTAAAAGCTTTATGTACATCTTACATACCCACTGGTCGGGTCAGTGATGATAGCACGGGGGTTGACAAGATCAGAGTTGACAATGACACGTCGCTGAGAACCATCCAGAGACGCCACCTCAATACGATCCTTCACAGAGTCAGTCCAGAACATAGTCCGCCCCAAGTGGTCAATAGCGATACCCTCTGGGCTGTCCATATCTGTTCACAGGATACATTTTACAGCTTCTTTACTTCATAAAAACAGTCATCTGAGTCATGAATAGCCCGAAATGAAAGAAAACCATTTGGGTGAAGCAGAAAACTAACAGTACCTGATCTAATAATGGCAGTGGGCTCTCCACCCTGGATGCTGGCCCTGCTGATTGAGGGAGATGTGATTTCTGTCCAGTAGACCATTTTCTCCACACAGTCATAGGCCACTCCAATGATTACCTTCTCCTGTGCAGGAGCCAGAAACCAACAATTTTTAAAGTGCCCTTTCTCCGAAAAAGACCCGTCAGGAACAGAAACATGGAGCAGATTTGTTTTTTTGACACTGATGTCTAGACGATAATCCAAACACACCGAGCTGCATACTCAACATGAGTGAGTCGACCAGACTTGGGGCCAGCTGGTTTGGAAATCAGCGTAACAAGAAATGCAGATTGCCATTCCAAAGATGTGGACTGATGTTAGCAATTAGTGTGAATGTCACCATGTGCCTCCAATAAAGTGCGAGCCTTGAATGCATGCAGCAGATGGGAAAAGCACAGAGCTAGAGCAAGTATTAGTATAAGTAAAAGAGAGCAGAACAGAGCAGAAGGCTGAGCTGATGTTGTATACACAAGCGAGAAATCCTTTAAATGCTGCAGTTGTTTTTGATTGTTTCCTCTTGTATAATCTTAATAGTACAAAGTGGAAGATGTGTCAGGGGTTAATTCAGAGCTGCTATCTTGTTAAATCTTGTGAGCATTTGTTAGATGAAAGTCCAGTTAAATATTTCCTTCTATGATGTCATAGCACACATTTAAAGCAAACAGATTTTTCTAAACAGTCAACAAAAACTGCAGAAGTTGACGTAATACCAAAAGGGATCACACAAATCCTCCTAAACTTCCTCTCTAAAGGAGAAGCATATTGAGAGGAGCTTACAGGGAGATGGAGGACAGCCTTGGCACCGTCCTTTTTCATATCATAACCCTCCAGTGGGATGTGCTCTATCCTGCCGCTCTGGGCAAACAACAGGTGTGTCCCAGGAGGCAGGGCGTCAACGTCGGGTCGAGGCTGGGGTCCCACAGGTTGAGGCACACCACCGTGGTCAATGCCTAATTCAGACAAGTAAAGAAACGTGAAAAACGAGGGTACTTGTGGAGGGTAAACCAACCTCAGCAGTTGAAAGCTTTCCTGGATCTTCTTCAGTAGTGTTTGTATGCTGCTCATTTGTCCTGCATATTTCGCCTCTTGTCATGCTATGAGCAAAACTGTGGTCTCTTTATGCTGAGCGGTAAACACATGTGGTTTACTCACACATTGGTCGGCTGCCAGGTCCGGAGCGAGTCCCGGGAATTTCTTGTCCGTTTCGGTCCACGCACCAGCAGTGTCCCGTGCTGTCATGGCACTGCATGGGGTTATAGGCGCCGTTCTCATCACATTTAGGGATATACTGGCCTACAGAAGGCCGTGGGCCCCGTGGACCGAACTCTGTCGCTCCCAGAAGACTGTCCCTGTGGGTCTCACACTGTGTTTTTGTCCTCTCTGAAGAAAAGAGTGAAAAAGAAGCTCCAGCGTGCGCACAGATACCTTGCAAAAATATCACAAATGTATTCGTAAGTTCATTTCTAATTTGTTTTGTTTTGTGTTCTTAAATTCAGCTGGGCAAAAACTCCCACATCCCTCATAAGTCTTGACAAATTCCTTTTTTCCAGGAGAAAATGAAAAACAGATTCCAGCTGGCACCAGTACATTCTGCAAGGAATTCGTTTCCAAACACTCCTCTTGGCCAAATGTGTGGAATAAACAAAGTTGTGAATGAAAATTATCCGTTTTTCTATTTATCTTTTATAGAGTCTGCGACTACATCAAAGAATACTATTACCAAACTGTCTGAACTCCCATGACAGATATCCAAAATAAACCTGTAGTAGCTCAGGCTTGATATCTAGTTACCAGAGTGAATATAAAATCAAGCTAAGTGAAAATGATTAAATAAGCTGTTGTGTTTGCTTGTCAGAAAGCAGTTTACCTGAAGAGCAGGAGAAGCCATCACCATAGTAACCTGGCCGGCATTGGCAGGTAAATGATCCCTCTGTGTTAACGCACACAGCGTCCCGATGACACCTGCCTTGCTGGCACTCATCTATGTCTTCAGGCAGGATATAAGAGGGTGAGGGAGGGTAGAGCGGAATCATAAAATAAACTACATAATCTAAAATACTTTCTGCATGTAAAATCAGTTACATTCTTTTATCGACAAAGATCTGCAGTTTAACCTGGGTCAGCTTGTCCCTAAAACTGTCCTTAGAGTGCAGGACATCAAGCCAAAATTGCACAGAGAATGGAAAATATGAATAAGCCACTGAAAACTAGCCAAAGAAAAGCAAAACTACACACAAAACAGGACCTCTGAAATGTCCATCTGCTTTTGTTATCTCTCCATTTAATCAGTACAGATGTTTCATGTAACCACATTCACCTCCCACAGTCCTGAGCAGAAGTTTTAACAATCACAGTCCTTAAAATCTATGTAGCAGATTTGGAATGCAATACAATTTTGGACTGAGCTATACATTTCAAGAGGTCAGTAGTTACAGCAGATTTTTATTTTTGAACCTTATCGTTACAAAATGAGAAGGTAAAGTTAGAGTAGAGTAAAGGAATGAGTAAGAGTCCAAAAATCCCCAAATATTCAATTGAATATATTGTAAGACAGGAAAAAGGAATTAATTGTCATAAATGAGAACATGCAGTCACAATTTTTTTTTGTGGGCAATTTTCGAGGAAAAATTAGAAAAAAATAGCTGGTAATTAATTCTCTCTGATTTTTACCTAATCAATTAAAGGCAGAGTATGTAATTCTAATTCATTACACTTTTTTGTCATAAATATGTAAATAAATCTGTAAATAGGAAAGAAACAAAGTGGCGAGGACTGATCTACTGAACACTATTCGTTTGTCCTGTGCGCAGGGCTGGACCAAAGAAAAGAGGGCAGTGGAAACAGAAATGAAAGTAAATCTTCTAAATTTAATTATTTAAATATGCTAACCAGCTAAATACTTATAATCTTTCCCCAATTGCAGACTCCACCTTTATTCAACTGCCGCAGCTCTCCTCTAATCTATAAGAAATTGGTACACTAACAAATGTCTAATACTATAATAATAAACACTAAAGCTAGTTGCAAAAATCAATTGCATAAAATATACCACAAACACTACAATTTACTGGTTTTGAAATAAATGCTAAAACTACTTTTTAATGTATTTTCTGAAATTGTTGAAATAGGCAGAGGTTCTGTAGCCTACAGTCTGACAGCATGCTGTTTATTAAGTGTCTTTCTGCAGTACCTTGGCAGTTTCTACCATCTCCTATGAACCCTGGTAGGCAGGAGCAGATGTAGGACGATCCTCCAGTATAGCTGCACTGAGCGCGCTCGGGGACATCACAGGTATGAGTGCCTTCCTCACAGGGGTCCACCGGTCGGTTAACCTCTGAGAAGAGGAAGAAAGAGAAAATACTACCAGTTTCCTATTATAGCTTCTCCAGACAGACCCAGTTAAGCTGTTCTCAGTCTATGCTGAAAGATTCATGAGAGTGGTATCAATAGAATATAAGCCTGTTTTACAAAATGTTGAACTATTCCTTTAAAATACGCAGTGACAGCTGAGCACAGGAGAGTAAAATACCAAGTATAGAAAACAGAAGTCAGACTAATATTGTATCTGTTTTCACAATCTTCCCAAAACATGCATTTTTACCTATTTTGCAACCAGACATGCAACCAAAAACCTTATTACACTTTCTACTGTGATAATCTCCCTGCACCAAAGTCACTGTGTGTGTGTACTTATGATTAGTAGGTATGCATGTGTTTACCTTGCCCACCCTGCTCTGTTTAATATTTTAATGCATTTTATTACAGTTTACGTCTAAACCACTACATCCCAAACCACCAGGTGAGATTTACCCAATATGTAATTGTACTTGACAGCACACAAACACCACTTACCAACGCAGGTCTGCCCATCATTGCCGAACTGGTACCCATCTTCACATTCACAGCGGAAGGTCCCAGGCTGGTTGTTGCAGATAGCATTGGGGCCACAGATCTGAGGGTTCTCTCTGCACTCATCAATGTCTGATAAAGAGAGCAGCCTGTTAGCATTATGCTAATAGCTCCCACATTAGATTCAAGTTTGAGTTCTGATGTCTGGATTTGTCAAATCAGTGTCCTTCATTATCAGATGGTGGGGGATCAAAGAAGAGAGCTTAATTAGATTTCCTAATTGTTTAAAGATAGAATCTGTCTGAAATGCTTCCTTCCTTTTTCTACTGTGTGTGCTTTTCCTGTTTGGTCTCTAATGCAAAAAGACTTTTGGTTGTATAGAATGTGGGCTGGGAATGAAGACCAGACTGGATATGGTAATCTGGTCTCAGAGTGTGGGACACTTCCTCTGCTAATTGGCAAGATTGTGCAGTTCCCCAGGAAGGAAGGCTTTTGAAAATGTGGGTTAATTTACAGGGCTAAAGCAGATATGGAAACTGTTTGATTTCCCTGGAAGGAGAAAATACATCAGTTGAGAGAATCCATAGAATACCGCATCCTCTTTTTTGCCTCAAACGGTGTAAACAGTTCTTACCATAACATGTGCGCCCATCACCGTTGAATCCAGCAGCACACTGGCAAGTGAACTGGGTTCCTTCTCCAGCTCTGCAGACTGCGTTGGTGTCACAGCCGTGCCTCCCAGTGAAACATGGGTTCTCCACCGGCGCCCCTCCTGAGAAGGGAAGGTGTAGCACAGTTGGATTAATATACTATTATCTTTCTTTCTTGGTCAGGATGTTGTGCTGCAGGAAGGAAGGAAGCTCAGACCAAAATAAACGGACTAAAAAAGCTCCACATCCTCACCGTTGACATCCCCGATCTTGTTGCTCATGGCGAACCGGATGAGTTCATTGTTAGCATCATACATGGCAAAGACCTGATCCACGCTGAGCATCTGGGTAGGTTTAATGTCCTTCATAACTTCGCCGTGCTGGCAGCTCTGGAAGGTGATGGTCTGACGCCACTGATACGTCCTGGTCTCGGTGGACCCATCAGGCAGACTTACTGTATAGTCCCGAGTTGAAGATGAGGTGATCACTGAGAGGTAAGACAGAGGAATAAGAAACAGCTACAATCCTTAGGTGGGGTCAAAATCAGAAAAGACATGTGTTCAAGCGGTGTCTTACGGTTGTTGCTGTACTGGTAGATCTCAGAGTAAGGTTCGATCTGCACCGTGGAGCCGGGAGGCACCTTGGGGACCCGGCCCTCCAGGGTGGTGCTCACTGCCAGGTGGTCATGCTCATCGATGCCTTTGAACTCCTGTCTGATGGTCAGCTTCTCATTCCCTGGCAGAAAGGTCACCTCAGCCTGCCGTGTGAACTCCCCCCCTTCAGAGGACAGAGAAGAGGGGGTTAACTTTAAGACCCTGGCCCTGGATGAACTTTGGCTCACCGCCTTCCGTCACAGCTGAGGTAATGTGAGGGGAATTCAGCTGGACAGCGAGCAGAGCTGCAGCTGTATGTGTGTTTGCAGCAGCTCTGACATTTGTTTACAGAGATTTATGCCTTCCACGATCTTCACTTTTCTAAACACATGAAGCCTTTGAAGTAACCACACGAGAAGCTTCTGAATTTTACATTATTAGATGTAGTTGATGCAGTTTTTTCTCCTCACCAATAATACTGAAGCCGTTCCTGAAGCCAGGCTGCTCCAGAGCAAAGGCCCACCCAATTACACCACCGAGGGCGGTGAGGGGCTGCAGAGACGGTCCAACAGTGGGAGGGATGTCGCTGATGGCGACGTAGGATCGGCCGTCATTTACCACAACGTACGAATGCAGATCATTGCTGCTGAACTCCACTGGAGAAGGAGAGTCGCCCACAAACACTTTCCCATGTACTTTACCATTCATCCTCTGTGGCTTCCCTGCAAAAACAAACCAAATCCATCAAGGTTAGTCAGGGAAAAGAGCAAACAAACCTTGTGGCTGAACCCATTTATTCGGCCCATTTGCTCAAATTAATATCAGGAGCTATGTGAGGGCATTTGTGGGGGGAAAAAATTGGCTAGAGGAACTGCAACAGAGCTGCTAAAAGCTTTTCTACAATATTTACACATCTGCCAGCTATCAAGAAGAATTTACAAATTAAATTGTTCCACAGCTGTTTTTCAAAAGCTAGTTTTCGCCCTAGGTTTTACCAACAGTGTATCATTTTTAAAAATGCTTTCAGTGTAATATTAGTAAAACACTGAAAGCAGACACTTACCCTCAGCCACACACTGTATCCCATTGCCATAGAAGCCTGGCCTGCAGTGGCAGCAGTATCCACTGGAGTAGTCCCTGCAGTCAGCAAACTGGGAGCACTTATTTTTGTTGTTCGCACATGTCCCAAGATTGTATGAGAACACTGAAACATGGAAAATACGAGCACTGAGAATATCACTGCAACAGCTAATTGTTGAAATGACTGCTGTCCCAAACCCCAATCCACTAATCACAAAGCTGGTGGTTTGATCCCCAGCTCCTCTAGTCCATATGCCAGTTGTCCTGAGCCTGAAGCCTTTATGTAGCAGTTTGCCTCCACTAGTGAAAGTGAGTGAGGGACAGACGCATTGTAAAGAGTTTTGGGACTATCCAGCTGTTAAAACACTCCGGCGAGAAGTAACATCCCTAATGTCATATATTTTTAATGTAGCCTTCCCCCATGTCCCATAGTGTGTCTGTCGGCTCATAAATCAGACATTAATATTGAAATCATGTCAGCTAACCAGCTCTGGACATTGGGCTGACTAAGACTAATTTCTAAACTGGAAAGAGTGTAAACCTTGAACAAACAAATAAAAAGAGAGCTTGCTCATGGGGTTCCAGGGAAACCTTCATCCTTTTAATGTATATTATTGTAGGTTCTAACTTTCATTCTAACTTTCTCAGGTTCCTCTTCATAACTAGTAATTATGTACAATCTTAGCCTTGATATTTATTATAGTCAGGTAAAGCTATATTTTGTATAATTTCTGTTGAATTTTAATCATTATTTAAATTAGTTAGGTCAATTCACATCATAAATACCACTGTAGGGTCTTAGCCTCAATATTTATATTTGTTGGGTTTCATTTATAACATGTTTTTTTGTTTGTTTGTTTTTTGGCTGGAAAGCACTTTAGCCTGGTGGCTGTTGTTGTAAATGTAATTTAAAAATATCTGTGACTTGACTTGATTTGGCAAAACCAGTTTGTTTAAGGGAATTTGTGGCTGGAGGAACATTTGGCCTGCCTGTTAAAAGACTTTGATAAGGGCTTGGAGGACCACTGGGACGCTGTTTGCTGGCTCCAAATTACATTTGGCTGAAAAAAAAAAAGGTTTCATTTTTTTCTTTATCTATTTTTCTTGTTTGTGGTTGTGTTTGGTTTGAAGTAATACCAATGCTTAGTCTCTGACTACCTTTTATAAAAGCACCTGCTCCTACTTTAGAAGCCTCCCCAAACCACCAACTTTTTTAGTTTCCTGAGATATAAAAACATTACCAATGAATAATAAACTCTAAATAGTAGACAAATCTAAATCGCCTTATAAAGGCAGCCATTTTTGACACTCACAATAAAATTACACTCAGTCCGAGCCTCTCTGCTTTGGACTCACCATCCACATTGATATCCGTGTCATCCACCACCACCACTTCTGGGTTGTCAGGCTGACGTGGTTGGTACTGAACCGGATAGACTTCAATCTGCTCCGCCTCTGCCTGATAAGGAGGGTATTTCACTTGTCCGTCGGTATACACAGGCCTCCTTGCATCAGCGTCCTCGTGGGCCCCTGACGCCTGTGCTGGTGCCTCAGTGGGCAGATCAGTGACTTCACCTGGAGCCACATTGGTGAAATACGGAGAAGTTCCAATCTCATACACCCATACGCCCCGCTGGCCAGAGTTGGTCTCCCTGTGAGAGGCGAAAGGGTTAAGTTTCTAGACTGAAGGTCTGAAGAACTGCAGCTGCTGTTCTTGAGGTGTCAGCCCTAGTACATTGGTTCTTAAATGGTGTTCTGTGCGTTGACTTACTCTGCTAAAGCTCTCACAGATTCCTCTTCATCCGTGGTGGTGCGGTAGTATGGTCCCTGACTGGAAAGTAGGAAACCCCGAACCAAACCTTTACTGAAGCCAGCATGCATGACCACATTGCTGTCTCCTGAGGGAGTGGAGGGAAACTGTATCCCATCCCTCACATAGAGGACGATAGCATACGAGGCGGTCTCCAGGGACGCGAGAACCAACTGGAAGGTGTTTCTCTGAGTGACAAAACATTAGAGAGGATGTAAATAAGCAGCTCCACCCCAGATCATGGGTTGGATAACAGTGCCATGCTCACCTTCTTGGGGGAACCGTCCCCTCTGCTGTGAGGTTCATGGGTGGTGACATCAGCCCAGGTGATCACAACAGCATGAGTGGGGTTGACTTCATCATCCTCAGGAAAAGCCCTGTTGATGTGCTCAGCGGCCCGGCGCAGAACATCAGGACTCGAGTCTTCGCGAAAGAAAACTTTCCCAACACCATCACTTGTGTCCAGGTTTCCTTGCAGAGCTGCAATCATGCCGAATTTTGGAGGCATTTTGCTGAGATATGTCGCCTCGCTCGTTGGCTCTGCTGTGGCAACAAAGCCGTTGGAGTTGATCTAAAATTAAAAGTTAGTTAGTTAGTTTAGACAACAGGAAATGAGATGACCAGGGCACTGTATGACTTCATTTATGACACAACTAGAAGTGTTTCACAGCAGGAACAGACCTAGTTCTGTGTGACCCACTTTGATCTTTATTCCAAACTCATTAGACTAATGATCCGAGTGAGCTGTCATGTCCCACCAGAGCGCCAATGAACAAACAAAATGGCATTTAATGCACATTTTACACACTTGTAATGGTTTAATGAGAACACATGCAAAGCTTGTAAAGAACGAAAACCTGAGCTCATGTTAAAAAGACACACACACACACACACACTGCATATGGGGCTCCTTCACTTCCTGACCAAAGGAAAACAAGAGCACTATTCCTGGCCGTAGCTTCCTGTCCTTCCCCTGACAAGTAGCCCCAGAGAGCCCGAATTTTGCACACTAATCTTCATTACAGAAACATCCTGCAGAAGTGGAAGTTGGAGCTGGGAAAATGTTTAGCGATTCTGATCTAACAGACGTAGCACAGAGAGAGAGCTCTAAAGTTAGTGGTTCTCTATGAAATTTGAATCACACTCGTGAGGCTGTGTTAAAACCCCCTGACCTGAGAAATAATTAGAAATGAAAATGTTTGTTTTTTTTCTGTAACCACGTGTGGAGCGAAACGCCACAGGGCACAGACAGTTCAGGGCAGACTGTCTCAGAAATGAAAATGTTTAGGCCATCTTGAGTGAACTTGGAAGAAGTCGGCAGTGGGAAAAACCCCAAAGAGTGATTGTTTAAACAAGGAATTCAATATTAAATATAGGCTTAAGGCTTTTGGGTTAACCACGACTTTCTGTCTCAAATAACAATTCTGCTGCCTGGATGTTGCTGTAACATAATGGACCAAAAAAATTCACTGATTACAGACGTTGTTTTTAACAAAGTTATCTACTGAGATTGGCCACGCCTTGAACAGGTTAACCTTACATTTTCTGTAAAAAGAGAAATAATGATAACTCCAGAAAGTAGCCTGTATCATCTGTTAAAGTCTACATGAGGAAAACATGTGCAAAACTTTGGCAAAGGTTAAGTCCCTGCCACTCAGTGTAATTGCTCTCTGATAGCACATTATCCACACGCAGCACAATTAAAACAGAAAAGTTGCACTTTTCTTTGAAAGCGGAATTACAGGGAATAAAGGGCTGTTTGTTTGTCCAACACAATGGTGCAGCTTCATTTAAAAGCTCCACAGGGCAACAGTTTAAAAAAAGCCTGGCAAATTATAAACACATGAAGCCTTTAAGGATGAACTCTAAACCTATATATGAAGGTTCACATATGTACCTTTTAGTGGCCATACTGGTATGTTACATCACTAGACTTTTTGGGGTGGATTGTAAAACAAGATTCCTCGAGTTCTTCGATCAACAGTAAAATGATAACCTCAAGGGAAGCTATAGGAATGCGCGGACACATGCATTCCACAAGATAGAGCAGCTTCTATGATAAGTAAACCAATATTTAAAAATCTCCAAGTCGTACAAAAAACTCAAATCCTACCGGTGCTATATTTTGCAACTTCCAGGAATTGTTTAAGGTTGTAACTACTGACCTCTTTTCAGTTTCTAGGTATGCGCAATTGCGCAAAATCGATGTCCAATCAACCGTCACCAGTAAATCCCACGCTTTGTTTTTTTTTATTATTATTATTACTGTGATAGTGTAGCAACTTTAGAGGTTAACTTACATATACGCTGTCAAAAGTGCCATCATAAAACAGCACTGGCTCGGTCAGATCAAGTCGGTGCGTTTGGTCATTCCCTCCTGCCAGTAGCTGGTCTCTCGCGCTTGGACCGAAGGGGAAAAGCTCATCTCGCGTTATGCTCAGCACCGAGGTGAACAATCCCAAAAAACTCGCACACACAAACCATCCTTGCTTCTGCCAACCCATTCTTCGTCCTTCTGTGGCAGCTGAGCAGTCCTGAGTTTGAGGCGAGACTGGTTTTGGGACTAACTGTTTGTGGATGGGGGCGGGGCGCAGGGAAGGCACTAAGACTGGAGAGAAACTTAGAGGTAGCCTATACTTTACTCTTCATGCTGTCCCTAAAACAAATTCCTGGAATGATGTGGTTGAAGGCTGGCACGCTCTGGGTCAGTTTACTGGCACAGCTAACCAGACATCTACATGACAGGAGCTGGACGGGTCGGCAGAGGATGGAATTAAGCACTGAGATGAATAGAGGTCATTTTAACATCCTTTTATTTAAATTTTTGAAACTGGTTGTTCCAATGTTGCCAGTACAGTAGAAAGCAGCAGGCTGTGCTTAGATGATTATGCATTTTAATACAGAGGCCACTGTGTAGGAGGTCTACAGAGGGACAACGCTGGATCTGTATTAGCAGGTTTGGACTCAGGCCAGTGGACCATCAGAGCATGGACCAGTTACCGGCAACAGAGCCCCATGCCCAGTTTGACTGAAACATTATGTAAAGGACAATATCACAAAGCACTGTAGCATACTCTAATCATTTGAAGCATGCCGCTGTGGCTATCAGACTCCACTCCAGCTGGGATAATGAGGGGCATGCTGGTATGGTTCAGCTCGGAGCTGCTTCTGCCCCTCTAACGGATGCCCAGTCATCCGTCCAACACTTTGGCCCATAACTGCTGGCCACACTGTCCTGACATATGGCGTTCACAGTCCCCATTACATCTAATGATTTTTAGTGACCTTTGACCTTTCGTGTAGAGCGCCCATCAAGCCAAAATGTCTTCTTTAAAAAATAGCTTTATTCCTTATTTAGAAAATGAAACGAGACAACAACGTTAATGCCAAGATTTCCACAACATTTGATGTGGACAGTCACAATACCCCCCGACAATGATTCATAATGTTTTCGGTGGCAGTGTGACCTTTCTCATGTTCTCCCCCAAGCCAAGATTTCGTTACACAAGCAATATCAAGGCTGAAAGTGCAGACTTTGAAGTCCATGTTTCATTTTTGTTTTTTTCCCCCCTCTGAAATACTTAATAATTTTACCTTCACGGGGCTCTAAAAACTCTTCAGACTAAATAACCTAATAGAATCCAAATTGGTCCTGTCACAGTGGTCATAGCTCATGTCCAAACTGAGGTCATAACTTGTGATGAAAGAACCCAAATAGATTCTGATTTGTTCTAGTGGGTCACGAGGCAAACAGGCTGGGAACTGCTGCCCTAGAAGATTAGTCTCTTCTGCTGTCGACATTAAAGGAGCTTCCCTCTCACACAAACCTCAGGCCAAAACTTAATTTTATAAAAACAAGATTCAATGCTCACATTGCCGTGAAAAGGGGACGAATTAATGTGATTCTAATGATTCTGTGGCCTTTTGTTTAATGTTACCCTCAGGGGAGACTTCATAGTTATTATCCCCTTTATTTGTTGGGCTTTAAGATGAGATTCTTTATCAAACAATAGTGTGGTATAATGAACATTTCAGCATCTCGCAGGGCTTTTTCTTGCTGCCTCATGTTTTGATTAAACACACCATTTACAGCCATCTCAGGGTTTTTATTCAAAAGATTTTTCTGCTAGATTATTTGGCAGTAAATCCAATATTTCATGTTAGATGCTAAGGTTCTCAAAAACTGCAAAATATAAAGAGAATATGCCAAAAAATATACAATGTGTGATTTTGAATTAATTGCCCTGTTAAAAATTAAATTAAATTAATAATAATAACCATACTACTACCACTGCTACTACTACTACTTTGACCTGCTCGAGGAAATCAAGTGGGCTAACTCTGTGCTCTCTTTTAAGTCATTTCTTGAAACACATTTTTCTCGGAGAGCTTTTCATGATGATGAAGTTTTACGATTTATAGTTTTTTTTTTGTGTGCTTTCTACTTTTATCAATTATTCTGTGTGCTTACTGTATATTAATCTTATTGTATTTTATTTTTTATTAAAAAGCACTTTGTAACATTTGTTTTGAAAAGTGCTCTATGAATAAAGTTTATTACTACTACTACTTATAATAATAAGAAGAATAATATTCTAAAAAATAATAAATCAAATCAGATCAAGTTTATACATACACAGTAGTACAGGCAAGATGAGAGAGAGTGTCTTCAGAATCATTTACTTAGTAAGTTTTGCGGAATGCATGTTTGGGAAAAGCAAGACATTAAACGTAAAATAATAAACGTAACAATAATAATAATTCTGATGATGATAATTGTTATATAGACTATAATAATAATAATAATAATAATAATAATAATAATAATCATCATCATCATCATCATCATCTCATTATTACCTTTGAGGATTTTGAACTAATAAGTGACTGGCAGTTATATATTCATACTTATTTGTGGTTTCAAGACTCAGCTGGGCACTACTTTAGATACTACAGTATCTCCCATAAAATCACCTTGTTAATTTATTTATACCAGTTGTGGACTCACCTACTTAAACAAGTATTTTTTTATTTATTTTATGCTATAATGTAGCAAACAAACAAGTGCCACACTGGCTTAATGTGTTTTAAATTTTACATTCTTCTTTTTTTTTTGGGAATTATTTTTGCATTCTTCTAGTGGCCACCTTCTGCCTTGATAACAATTTTGCATCAGGAGTCTGTTTCTTGTACAGTCAAAAGGTGCCATCTTGTGGTTGTTTTTTGAAGTGTGCACCTGTGGTTTCCGAACACACTCCCTGTAGACTTACATGGTTCTCAGAAATCAATATACTGAAGGTTTATGTACAAAAAACATGTAGGTTTGGTTAATTGATGTATATGCTGTTGCTTATTTTATTGTTTTACAGAAAAGGCAAAAAATATGTTTTGAAGGATGTTGAGTAGTGGCAGCTAGATTTTATTAGGACAAACTAAATCACAATGAGTGCAGTGGTTGTATGTATGAAACAAAACGTAATTCAGTGCACTTAAATGGTGATACGTATCGTACACCCTTGCTGGACTTGCAGTGTATGATGGGATATTTACCCTGAGGTCTGTGATGTCAGTAGCTGTGACTTGCTACTGTTTGAGTGAGTCTGTTTTGTGCAGCCGTGTTGCCTGGGAACGAGCAGACTGCTGCTGCCGTGTCTATAACAGGACACTGTGGCCTCATAAGAGCTGCTTCATCACCACTCCATTATTGTTATTTCTGATTTACGGATGAAACCAAAGATGTGGGCGATGTTTCATACTGTACTATCACATTTTCATTCACCAGATAAACCTTGCTGCTTCAGTTTGGTTACAGCTTAATCATAGCAAGTCTACATGTGAAACAACATTTAAAAAAAGAATGCATTTATTTCAATACCTAATATTTGCCAAACACAATATTATATTTGAGATTATGTGGAGATCTAAACTGAGGTCGCTGCAGCTGACAGCATGCTAGTTTGGTGAATCCCAGTGTTATAAAAGATGAATGTGTCACAACAGTCAGAGGTGAGGCTCACTGACCTCCATCCTCGGCCTCCCTCGTGTTCACATGCCCCAGTCCTGTGAAACAAAAACCCTGCTGCTCAGTGTGCCTAGATCGCATACAGTTCTTGAAAATCTTTCAGTTTCTGAGTAGATTTGAACACTTTGGGAACTGAAGGGGAACTAAAGGGGAACTCCAGCGGTTTTACACAAGAAGAGGAAGTTTATCAGCAGATGTAGTGTTAAGTGCATGAGAGCAACTGTATAATGTCCTCTGTGGTTCTAAAGGAGGTGTCTAAACTCTTGAGAAAACAACTGTGGTGATATCAACAGAGCTGTGAGACTTAAAATATTTAATTTTCATTGCGAAATACAACTGCGATGTTAGGAAGATGTGGGTGTTTTCCAGGCAGAGAGCGGTAAATGAAGACTGGTGTGTATTATGAAAGGATTCTGTATTTTTGGACATTGGCTTATATTAGAGAACAAAAAATGTCTCTTTCCAAGGCTGGATTAGAGGGAGTCAAGGTTCACTTTGTGGCTACTTCTGTGTGATAATTTGATGAATTGATTATATAAACCAAAGCCTTAATGCCTTAAAGTAGCATTTAACCCTTTATGGGGCAAGTGACCATATTTGGTAACTTCCTTGGACGTTCAGTATGTCCACCCTGTGCCTCTCTTTAAGGTTGAAGAACCATGAACACTTTGATTTAGTTTTTATATTAGTGCCAGTAGCACCACCTTATGAAAAATGTCACTAAACAAATGTTCCAGGAACTTTATAAACGCTTTGTTACTGGTTTGCATTGAACTTCACTTTGATTTATTTTTTGAGATTAGTGCCACTAATACCACTACCCCAAGAAAAATGTGACTAAATGAACTTGCCAAGTACTTATAAATACTTTGTTACTGGTTGTGTGAGTATCATTACCTCAAACTAAAATGTTTCTAAATAAATGTTGTTTGCAGTCTGTTATTTAAAAAAAAAATAAATAAAAAAAAAAATAAAAATTATTGTAAATTCCCTTTAAAAAAAACAAAAACAAATGTAGACGGTCAAGTTACCATATATGGTAACTTTATTAATCTTGATTTGCAACATTTTTTTTTAAGTCACAAAAGTAAAAATATCTTAAAATATCCTTCAATAACACCCTAGGGTTGAAATTTCCATTTTCCAAGTATTTCAAGGAGTGCCCTATGAAGGGTTAAACCCTATTCTAAGGCCCTGTCTTGTCGAGGTCATGTGTCAAAAGCTAAAAAAAAATAAATCAAATTCTTGTTATATAGTTTATGATAAGCTTGTCTTGCAGTCACCAGCACCTTTGTTCAGCAGTTTCAGGTTGTGCTTATGTTAATATAATGCAGTAATATTCTGAAATACAGTTTCCTTTGCTTCACTTGTGAGTTGGGGAACAAGGGATGAGGAATGGGCGGCTCAATACAGCGTACACAGTTAAAACAAAAACTACCCACGTCAAATTTTATGTGACTAATACATTCCTTGTGGCTAGAAATAAAATAAACGAGTGACAAAAGATGATCAGACACTGTGTTAGAAATGTTGATGATTC